AGGTTGGGCGAGATTTTGGTTGGAGTCAGGGAGTTCAGTTAGTGCGTCCTTTTATTTTGCGGCAGGCCACCAAAACAAAGCCTGTGGACGCCCTCCGGGCGAAGTGTCCCAAGTTTGGGATGAAGGTGACAGCAGACCCAGACACTATTTTGGAATATGAATCTATGTTTGCGGGGTTCCCACCAGATGTAGGGCCGCTGAACCTCAGAGTGGTGGCTTTGATGATTTAACTTTCTTTATATTTTGGCTGTGTACTTGAAAGAACAAGGACATGTTTCTGCATCCTGACCCCGGTGTTGCTTGTGGAGCAAGGTCCCTGAGCCACGGAAGCAGCAGAAGGCAAGGGAGCATCAGAGAGCCACAGGCAAAACTGGCCCCAAGCTTGTGGAATCTCCGGTGATTACGAACAGCTTTGGCGCGTTACGTTTCCAAGTTGCAAAATTCTTGACCTTGGTTGTCGTAATGAAAGTAGCCGTTTGGAAATCTTTGGGCCAGTCAAGTAGCTCAGGCTGCTTCGGCGCCACCTACAGAGCATGCAAAAAGCACCTGTCAGTCAGGGCTAAGCAGGACTGCGGCGGAAAGTGAAAAACACAATTCCAGATTATAAAATAGTGGCAAAGCAGTCAGACGCCTGGTAGGTGTATTGTTGTTTGTTAGGACCTAGCAACCCAAGTATACTACTGGGACTTCTACCGGCAACGTTGCCGGGCAGACAAGGTGCCCCGCGGCGACTTCGTCGCCCCTGAGCTGGGTGAGTATTTGGCTGGATTCTTCAATGAAGTTTCAGATTCAGCTAGTTGGTTTGTTTGGGGGTTCAAACTGAATCTTTTTTTGAACATGTCCCACCTCACAGTATGCCGCCTCATGGGCTGAGGACTACCACGCGGATGGACTGTTCCCATTGAAGGGTCCGTCGATGCTCAGCAGTTCCATGAACTGTTCCCATTCCATGCTTCGGTCATCCGGCCGCAATGATGTTGAAAACAAAGTGACAGTGGTATACTACCCCTTGTGATTTTTGTGGAAGGCGGACGCTTTACCCACGATCAGCCTATTCAGCGGAGTTCTGGGATTGGAATGCGCAATGATGGAGTTCGGGCCCAAATGATTTTTCTTCAGCGGGCCTTTGAAATCTAGTTCTCTGCAGGCGGTTCCGGGCTGTATGTTTTGCCATCAACCCAGAACCCTGTCGCTGCCTCTCGCAAACCCAGCTGATGGATGCTTAGGTTGAGCGCGACAGCTATTGCCAGCAGGTCATAGCAGCCCGCCAACGAGATGGCGTGGCGACTTCTGGGCCCATATTCTCTGACGTGAAAACTTTCAGTCCGCTTTGCTTGAACTCACGCCCAGATGTGACGGACCGTCCATGTGGAATCATGGGCGGATTTCCATGCCAAGATCCTTGATACCATTTTGTTTTCTGCTGTTGTATCTGTTGTGTTCTTTTCACATAATTTGACAGCTTGCAGGGTTAGTTTCTGTGTGTGTTTGTGTGTTGAGTTGCAGCCGGCTTTCCTTTTCGCTAAGGGAATCTCGCGATCCGGTTTGAAGCAAGGGATCCTGGACGACCGATCGGGATTGATATGTCAAGTGTTTCGGATGCTGGACGAAGATGATGAGCTGTGGCTTGCATCAATGGGCATTGTCATTAAGAGTCATTGAATGTCAATTTGGTACACGCACCAAAAATGGATCCCCAAGTTACGAGCAAGTTGATATGATTGGTGTTCTACGTAGAATAATTCTCAGCTTCAGTCATGTTTGCAGGTATTTCGCACTTTTGGAGAACGTGAGCAACTTGCTCAGTGGTGACATGGCGCCCCTCCGCAACTACATGTTCAAGGCGTGTCGCAGTCAAGTTTCAATGTGTTTTGGAAGAGCTAAAGTTTTGCCACGCAGGAGTTCCACAAGAGGCATTTTGATGTTGCCTGGGCTACGACCACTGGGAAGATGTGCGGCACCCATGTGTGGGCCTTTGTTATGTGTAGTTTACAACAAACAAACTAATAGCTACTCATGTTTTGTTCCAAGGTGTGGCGGGAGCGGGTTTTCCTAGTGGCGTTCAAGCCGAGCTCTGGAAAACCTCATCCATTGAAGGCTTGATTTTCTCTCTGGAAAATGGGCATATTCATTGCTGGCAGGCTCTGGACGTGATGAGCAATGCCACGATCCATGCAAAGGCAAACGCCGTTTGGAACAAACGTGGTCGTTTGCCAGTCTCTCAGTGGCTCAGCCAAGGGAAACTCCAAAAGGCTGAACAGCACAGACTTCACACCCTAGGGAATGTGGTCATCCCAGCGTGTGGAAGGCTAGCGCTCCACACCATATCGCATGCCATTCAGCACGATGCCCGGTATGCCAGGCGATTCCCCATGTCTTATTCCTTTGTTGGCCTCGCGCTGTTACGCCCCAGTGTTTTCAGAGAGTGTGTAGTTCTGGAGATTCTGTTTATGTGTGAACAGACACTTTGATTGTACCTGGCAACGGATGCCCGTGTAACAGTAATTCAATGTGCACAGTGCAAGCACGCAAGAAGGTTTCAATGTCCTGCCACATCCGGCCCGGCAGAAGGATTTCGTTTTCTAGAACTTCCTTGACCAGCTCAAGTCCAGGTGTGCCTGGCTGGATTGACACGCTTACCGTTCTTCAATGTACTTCAACATACTTCAACTGTTGCCGATGGCCGCTAGCTACAAGCTCAAAATTGTAGGAGCCCTGGGGTTCCATCCCAAGCTATAGTAGGTGTCATGCCCGGCCCCATTCAAGGATGGCTTGCATCGTTTTATTGCAAGCACAATTTGCATTGTGGTCGTTCGCGTTTTGCTTGGGAAGAGAGCTGTGCTGATGACTCGTCATCTGATGAGTGGATTGTTCTGGACGATGACGACGGTGAAACTGAGATCAAGAAGTCAGAGGAGGCCGATCATTGTGTGACCCCAACTCTCTTTAGATTGGTTTTCTTCTGCAGCTGTCCAGGGCCCAGGGACTTCAAGCACCGCCGAGACAACAACCTCAGAGGCTATATTATCTTGAAATCTCGTGGGTGGTAAATTAAAATGTTTTGTTGTATTTTTAAACGGGGGGGTGCAATTCGAATCAGTGGCAGGCTTCCCCCGCTGCGACTTCCACAAGCTCAACTTCTTCGTCAGATGCTGCGCATTCTGTTTCAGGCGCAGTTTTTGTTGGTCCGTTTGGCTCAATCAGTCAGGCGTTTTGCCTTTTGTGTTTCAGGTGGGTGTTTGGTTGCAGGTGCAGCCCAAAATGCCTTTGGTTCGCGAGGTCGTGGATAATGGATTTTCATCAGTTTTAGCTGAGACGACAAGACGAGCTGTTGGCGCACTGGCGGTGACAATGCATCTATGTCCTTCGTCATGGAGCGTCTGAGGTGCTCCCAGTTTATGAGTTGTTTCCCTTGGCTTGGCTTTGGGTTTGATGCAGAAGTTTGGATAACGTGCGCATCCCTGAGAAATTTGACGTAAGGTGACAATCACGACCAGGTCTCAGACCCCCCTTACCTCATATCACGGCAGGGTTGGTCCATTTGCATGGGCAACACAGCTATGTCCCAGTGGACCAGTTGATTGCGCGGTGGGAGGAGAAGATGAAGGATGACATGTTCCACATGTGGTTCACACTTCTTAAACAATGCGCTATGAGCATAAACAATGTAATTTTGAAGTGAAATGTGTTGATCTGTTGATATCTCAAAACAATCTTCAGAAAGGACAATATGTTTTAAGAGAGATTGATGGCCCTAGCTATGTTTTAAGAGAGATTGATGGCTCTAGCTTGCAAGGACATTGTTTTCTCAGGAAATGCTCATGTTCTTTAAGATTGGCATTTCTTCATATAGATGACATCCTCTTGTGAATGAACTGTTTCCCGGTCCCACGCCTGTTCATCAGTATCTGTGGGAAATACACCGTGCTTTTGACATGGGCAATGCATACTGTGCATAAACAGGGTTCAAGGTATTTGAAATCGCCATCAAACAAGACACGGTTGAACAACTCCAACAAGGCAAGCAAAAACTTGCCGGGTGCGTTGTACAAAAGATCAGCAACCAAACTGATGAACGCACCCATCAGTTCCCACAGCTTTGTTCAACTCCTGGGCGTCCATGTTCTTTTTCCTGCGCCGATAGTTTTCTGTGCATAAGACTGGGGGTTAGAGGCACCTGGTTTTGTTTTTTGTGGTGGTGTTTGTGTGTGTGCTTGATGGTGTTTCGTGCAGTGGTGTTTTTCCTGTGCCTCAGACATGTGTTCCAAAGTGATGTTTCTGTGCCTAAGAGGGTGGGCTAGGCACTAATAGTTTTTCTGTGCCTTAAAGGGAGGCAGTTGGTTCGGTCCAGGGAGTTTTCTGATGAGGCAAACCGTCGTCGCACCACCAAAGGCTCATGGACCATCAAACGCGACCACCTCATTGATGCGTCCGTTTCGAGGCGAAGACGTGAGGACGAGAGATGCGCGAACCCACGAACCGATCGCGCGCCGCAGGATTCACAGGAACATTTTGCCACCTAGTTGGCGGGGGTGGGCAGCCAGCTCATCCTTGTTCGCAGTTGGTTAAGTATGAACGGCACGGCGGCCCATAACCTGAATAGCTTGTGGCTCTTGACGCCAGCATCATCCATAAGGTTGTGTTTTTTTGCACACACGCACGTGCACGTCAAACCAAATCGAGTCCAAACAAATCTAAATTACGTACTCGCAGAATCTCGCAGAGCTAACAGGAATCGCGTTCCAAAGTTTGCTGCAGATTGCTGCAGATTGCAAGCACCAATTGAGACATTCATATCTGAGATGAATTTGCTGACTTGTGCGCCGTGTCGTTCCTCTGTGGATCGATGGCTTTGAGGTCATAACACTGCACTCAATGAAGAACACATCGACATGAAGAACACACTCAATTTATATGCCTCGGGCAACTTTACCAGTCATGAAAATGTTTGTCACTTTCTTGATTATGAACAAGTTAACTCAAACAACTGGTTTCACGTGTTTTTGGAAAACATTTGCACCATTCGATCGCTTCATCATGCCATTCGTGCGAGTGCCTAGGCGACTTGCGAAGGGTGTCCATGTGAACACGTGAAACTTCATTAGTTTGTCAGGTTTCATGTGACACCATGACGCTACTAGAAGTTCCTGGCCTTACTACTAGGAACAAGAAGCTACTAGGACCAAAGGGCATCGCTACTAGGAGCAAGGACGCTAGTAGGTTACGTTTACTCCATTTGTGGGGTACTTCTTCGAAGGAAACGGTTCCTTTGATGTTTGCTGTTTGCTTTCTCAATGCGGATGTGGTACAAGAATCGGTGCAGTCTGGGAACCCACAAAAATGACGTTCATGTGGCAGAATCCTGGCACTTCTGCACGATGCCAGGCTTCTGGTTGTTGTTGTGTTTGGATTATCTTTGACGTCAAGGAGTTTGTTATTCCCTGTCCACTCAATTTTATGTTCATGTCCGCTGTTTTTGTGTGAATCTGTTTGAAATTTTTCGTAATTTGGACGTTGCAGGACTTTCTCACAACCACAGGACTGCCTGTGTGCGCGTGTGTGCACAGAGTGGGAATATGTGGGAATTGACAAAGTAAGGAGCGACCCAAAGATGACGTGGTGATCTCAGAGAAACGCAAGATACTAGGAACAAGAACGCTACTAGGAGCAAAGGGCATCGCTACTAGGAGCAAGGACGCTATTAGGGGCTCCTGGCATGGCTACTAGGAGCAAGGACGCTACTAGGGGCTCCTGGACTTCAAGAGGTGGATTTGTCAAGTAGTTACAGCCAACTGAGTGGCCTCGGTGCGACGACATGCAAGAGGATCAACCGCGACGGGCTGCAAGGTCCAAGGAAGAAATTCAATCTCGACAGCTGCTTGCAGGATCGTAAGTCAAACTAAGCGGAGAAACTGCACGACAGCAACAGTAGAAACATATCAATTTATTACCGCACAAAGACTTGACCAAGGGAAGCTTTTTGCCCAGAAACATGGCAAGCAGCAGAGCTTTGAAAAAGCACTGGGTTCGTTTTAACAACTATTTGCCTGTTTCAACAAGTCACATAGTTGTTATTGGTTGACAACAAAAGGAACATTTGATTTCAGTGTTTCAGGAAATTGTTAAGCAATCATGTGAGGGGAACAAAAAGTGAACAAAAGAGGTGCAAAGTAGTGCGCTACGAACGGGGCTTCTGGCCTTACTAGGAGCAAGGACGTTACGAACGGAGCAAAGGGCATCGCTACGAACGGAGCAAGGACGCTGACTTTGCTGAACCCACGTGGGGCTCCACAGCCGCTCTTGCGATGGCGGGCTATGGTCCGGCTCCACGAGCTCCTGCAGCCAGGGCCTCTGCCTTCAGGGCCAGTTTTGGAATTCATTTCTTGTCCAATGGAAGAAGAATGTCTGAAGGAACAGTTGGAATACAAAGGAAGAAAGGTATTTGAAGCTGCTGGTTTGCTGCGCAAAGTGGTGTACAGCAATTCTGCATAGAACGCTCTTCACACACACACACACACACACACACGGACGGACGTGAGTAAATCCACAAGCATACAGTGAAGTCATTGGCGCCGCTCCGCGGCTGGGTCCGCCCGCACCAGTAGAAACGTCATAGAGACCGGGGTGCTACACGGAATCCCTGTGGTTTGGAAACGAGAAGCAACATCCATGAAGGGCTATCCAACCTACTAGCAATTCAAATGGCCTCCACCCTAGTAGCAATGGCCTCCAACCTTCTAGCGATGGCCTCCACCCTAGTAGTGATTTGTTTAATCTAAAAGACGGAAAAGGGCAGTTCGATAAGATGGGTATCATTGTGAACTCCGGCCTTCTTCGGCACAGGCAGAGTCGTGCGCGCGCGCACTGTATATTACTTCTTTGAGGGTTTTTTGAATTTCTTCAACTCTTGTCGGCAAAAACGTCTTTGGTTGGAGGTCATTGCTCTTAGGTTGGAGGCCATTGTTCTGCTTTTGGAGTTGGTGAGTCGTGCTTCCATGAGGTGGGTGCCGTAAATCCATACCCTCCAGGCGCAGCTGGCGAAAGTCAAGTCACATGGGACATGCATGTTCTTCCAAGACCTCTATAACTTCTCTGTCGATTTTGGCTACGGTCTTCCAGAAGGTTCGAGGCCATTGCTCTTAGGTTGGAGGCCATTTTAAGGCAAGCATTTTCCTTTGATGGTCCCCTTCAAGTCGCTTCTTCAAGTCTCCAGATCGCTCATGGAGGCGTGCCCCCACTTGGGGCACCACTGGGAGCTCCAGCTCTTGGGGCACCAGTGTGGAACTTCCCATGTGGCGCTCCCTGTAGCGCGATGCCGACGGGTCTTCCGTGTGGCGCGATGCCGACGGGGCCGACTGGTCTGACCGGTCCAGCCGTCGGGATGCCGCTGACGACACCGGCCCCCGTGGCACCTGCGCCAACGGTACAAATGCCGAATGATGGTTCTTTGGAGGTTTTTAGTAAGCTTCTTGTTCCTAGTAGTAACAAGTGCATCGCTAGTAGTAACAAGTGCCTTACTAGTAGTAACAAGAAGCTAGTAGAAACAATCAGCTAATAGCTTCTCGTTCCTAGTAGTAAGGCCAGCAGCCCCTAGTAGCATCCTTGCTCCTAGTAGCATCCTTTGGAGGTTTTGAAGTAAGATGTCTTTATTAAAACATCAGACATATGCAACTACTAGCGATGGTCTCCAAGCGACTAGTAAGAAAGCAATCAGAAGTATTTAGACAAACATTAAACAAAGAAGGACACCAGTTGCATTCTAGCGCGTTTGCACAAGTTGAAGATCAACCTATAAGAAAATGCTTAGTGATCTTAGTGGTGACTCGCAGTCAGTGAGGTTGGGGTGCCGTGGCAGCTGCCTTGGGACCACTTGGATATGCAACTCCGACACCGACGGCAGCTCCAGCTGCTCCAGCTGCAGCCGCGCCTGCTGGTGGTGATGCAGCACTTAACTCGCTGCTCACTAGCCTCGGCTTAGGACATCTCCTCCAGACCCCCCCTGTCGCAGCCCCTGTCGCAGCCCCTGTCGCAGCCCCTGTCGCAGCTCCTGTCGCAGCTGTCACTCCGAATCCTTTAAGTGGCCTTGACTTGAGTTCTTTGAGCTCAATCCCCGGACTGGAGAGCTTGGCATCCATACCGGGTTTGGAATCCTTGTTGGCTCCTGCTCCTGCTCCTGCTCCACTTGGACTTCCAAATCCTGGCGTCGTGCCCTCCAGATCACGGGGCAAGGGCAAAGCTCCCAAGGGCAAGTCTTTCGGGAAGGGCAAGCCTTTGATGCAGGACTGGGAACTGAGATGAATTTGAGATTCTTTGGAGACAGGAAGATGGCAATCTGGTCACTTCTAAGGCCTAGATGAATCAACACGATGTCGATGTCGATGTTTCAACTTCAGGATCTTCCAGTTCTCACTTCGCAGGAGGTTCAGGAGCAGGGTTTGCGGGTAAAAGCGGAAACCTTAGGCTTGCCAAGTTGTCCGAAGCAACGTTGCAAACTGGTGGCGTTTTTCTGGTTGCAGGAGCCTGGAGTCTTTGTAGCCGCAGCCTCGCAGAAGGATGAAAGAAAGTGCAGGGCTTTGTTGGCGCACAAGGTGCCAGCTGGGCCGAAGATCTGTCGGATCCGGTCTATCCCAAGGAGCAAGGACGCTACTAGGAGCAAAGGGCATCGCTACTAGGAGCAAGGACGCTACTAGGGGCTCCCCTGGCCTTACTACTAGGAGCAAGAAGCTACTAGGGGCGCTCCTGGCCTTACTACTAGGAGCAAGAAGCTACTGGGGGCTCTTGGCATCGCTACTAGGAGCAAGGACGCTAC